GTTGCACATGGGGCAATGGTGATATCTATACTTATCAGAATCTTGATTTTGGCTCAAACCTATAAAATCTCAGTCTAAAACAACATGCAACTCACAAAAACACATATATACTTCACAAGTATCTTATTTCCAACCAAAAGAACAACATGCAACTACAAATAAGTACAATTCATCAATTTTCTCCTCTTTTCACCAATAACCACAAAAACAAAAGATTTTCAAGTCACTCGTTAACAACACAACCACAAAGAGGTCAATGCATACATACAACACATCATGAACAACACTACAAGTTTCATTTACCTCAAATCACAAGAAAAGAGGAATAAGAAAGATAATGGCAAATAATGTTACTCCAAGCTCTCGCCTAATCACGACATCAACAACACCTAGTAATGTGCTTTCAAGCTTTGTATCATAATCCAACAACACAATTTACGCTTAGAGGAAAGAAAGGCGTAATCTATGAAGTTAGAAGGGAGAATAACTCTCTTTTGATCCAAAGCTTATTTTTCTAAGTTTCTTTAAAAAATGAACTTATGAAATTTAAATTTTAAGAAAACTTTATATATTTTTTCCTAAACTTAGTCAATAATAATCTCAACTCAAAACAACTCTTGAACAATAGCTAAACTCATAAGAATTATCAATTCCTTAAAATTTTAAAACAACTAAACAATAGTCACAAAATCATTTAATTAATAAAATTAACTAAATAATTATAAAAACTCAGTGTTACAAGCACCATCATTATGTCACCATCAATATTATTGTCATTATTAAAATTCTCATGATTATTGTTCTATTAAACTAATAATAATTTATTATAATAATTAACATTAAAAAATATTATAATAAATTTAATATTATTTTATTTGTATTATACATTATATTCACCAAATCATTATGTAAAATAAAAAGTTATTCAATAATTTAAGTATTTTTCGTTTCCAAAAAAAAATTGTATTTGTAATGCGTCGTTCTTTTTATCATGTATATAAAACACACTCTAAAACTAAATTAATTATTTTTTAACAATAATGCTTTTATATCTTCCTTAACTTTAAATTAATTTATACATTAATATTTAATATATATTTATTACAAAACAAGAAATATAATAAAAAAATATCAAATTGAAAAATGTACAAATGAAAAATTCATTTAAAAAGATCCATTACCCAGGTTCTACTCACCAAATACTGCAATCAAAATTTTGAAACTTGTAGTACGAATGACATAAAGCGGTTAAATCCCAAATTTAATAGTCTCAATTTCTAATGCTAACAATATCCTTTTTAATGTCATAATTGTTGCTATATTTGTCAATTTCGTAAATGATGTTTGTACTACTCATATAAGGTTTGGCTCGAGCCCAAACCATATCATTTTTCGATAAACAAATTTTATCATCACGATGATAAGAGGATAGACATTGTTCAGTTCAGATTAATAATGAAATTATATTTTATTCTTCGTCTCTCCTTGTCGATAAAAGTCCAAACATACTTAAATGCATATTTTAGATCTCTAAAATAATATATTAAATTTAGTTAATTTATTATAATAATAATTAAAATGCATTTTTTTTTATAAATAGAGTTAAAATATTGTTAAAAAATGTTGATTTTAGTTATATAAGGCTTCTAAATTTTTGTTACTTTTCTAAATTGAATAATAGTTTTAAATTAGAGTTTATTTTAATCTAATAATAGATTGAGTAAACCTTGAATAAAAAATATATTAATGTTTTCTCATATTCAATAAAAGTTGTGTGTGAACAATCAAAAATCATAAATGCTTATTTATGTTTCTTTATCATTTATAGAATTTAGTCGCATTTATATATAATTCTATTTTTTTTTCATATTTACATATCTATCAAGATTTTTTTTAATAATCATGATATTGACACAAAATATTTTCAATTAAAAACAATAACTAATCTTTGTCAAGGATATTAACCATGATTTTGAATGTAACATCTCAGATTTTTTATTAGTAATTATTTTGAATATTTATCTGGATTATTTTTTAATAATTATTTTAGTTATTTTATACATATAAATATATTATGTGGTTTTATAATTAAATAATTTATTTTATTATTTGAGGGAAGGGTTTTGTAATTATAGTTAATTATTTTAACTATTGGGTCAGTGAGTAGTTAAATTTTAAAAGAGAATTGGGTCAATTTTTCATTTTATGTTTCTCATATTTTGTTCATTGCACACTTGTTCTCTAAAGAATTGAGAGAATCAAAGCTTGTGGGAGATCACCCGAAAAATCCACGTCCATCGTCTAGTGTTTACAGACTTAAGAAGGAAGTAAGTAGTCTCACTCTAAATATGAGATGTATGTTGGGTAGTTGGATTAACCCATAATCCCTTCTTTGTTGCATCTGTGTATGAAGGGGAATTTCTCAAATTTGTGTGTATCTTGATTTTCTAGCTTTCCCATGATTTTTTAGTGTTATAATTGATGTTGTTAGCATGCTTTTGTAATTAATTTCATGTTTTAGATTAATCTTGTGAATCTTGAATTGTCTGTGAGTTCTCATGGAAATCCAAAGGGGATGAATTGGATAATTACATGAGGAAATTATATGAGTATGTGATTGGTATATGTGACTTGTGCCTTTTAGAAGTATAACATGATGTTAGAACGCTTTTACCAATTGAATTGTAAAAATTGATGTTTGGTTTTGTGGTTTGTGATTCGCGTTTTTGTAGAATATATGGCTTTTAACACAACGTTGGGCACCACCTTAGGCTCATCATGCATTGTTGAGGGTGAGAGCACATATTACTCTTGGGGCCTCTCACACTAAGTGTGGAATGAACCTTGTTAGGCGCAGATGCTCTAAGGGCTTCTTTGTGAGACTTTCGTTGGGCATAAACCTAGTCACGTCGGACACGATTCATCTCAAGAGCAATGTTACTCTTCGGAGGTCTTGTGTTGGGCACAAACCGTGTGTCACCGGGCATCATTCTGCAATTCATGTTTTCATCGTTCGTAATCAGTATGTGTGGTTGTGATTAGAACTATTGTTCTACATATTGGTAATGTCTAGTTGATGTTTTTAAGTATGCTAATATCATGATTGAGAAACATGGATGAATGGAATGGTGTGTTGTGTTTTGTATCTTGATGTGATGAGAAGTCTAAGCGAGGCTTAGACATGATGTGATTATATGATGAAAGGAATTGGTATACAATGGTGAAAGTGTGTTGTTATAATATGATAATGCATCGAGTTCTATTTCACATGCATCATGTGCTACTTATTTTTTATGAGTAAGATATGAAATACACCACTAGAGAAGGTCCCTTCGTGTAAAAGCTAAGGAATCAATCCTTAGGGATAACTAGGTTTGGGAAATCCTGATTTCACAAATTGTCTACACATGACGAAACTTGTGTGGCACAGTTGTCCTAACGAGACCTTGGTCACATGTCCTAGTGTAGAGTGTGATGAGAGTGTGACCTAACATAAACTCCTAGGATACTCAATGTATTGTCTTACAACAACATACCATGTGATTTGACTGGTGGCACATGCATGAGTATATGTAGTTCATGTTTATTTCATCGTGCATGTGAATGAATCAATGAATTATGAATCATATTAGATCTTGTTAAATAATTTGTGTTATTACTATGCTTCTACTATGGCCTAATTGATCAATGTATTGTTGAATGTGTTTGGTTATCCGACTATATTCTACGTTAAGTCAAAGTGAAATGTTTATCACTCTCCATTTCTTGTATTTGTTCTATTTGGATGTTGTTGCAGGTAAGATTCATCATGATGTTGATAATGTCAATGATGAGGTCTAGTCTTTCCTTAGAGATTTTGATTTGATAGGAAGTGACGTTGAAACTTAGTTAGGATTGATTTTCTTTTGCTATGCATTAGGATAGTTGCTCTTTTTAATGTATTATATATATTTCATTTAAACTTTAGTTGATTGTTATTTAGTTAAAATATGACACTCTCTATGTTGAGCAACATGAATTTCATCAATGATAGACTCTTTGATTCATTTTTACTTATTGTATTAGCATGGTATGCAAGATTAAAGGTATTACATTGAAAATCAGATCAAATTGACCAATCAAATCGATTTGATCAAAATTTGGTTTAGTTATTCTAGAAAATCATTTTGCAACAAACCAATGAAAAATCGGTAGTGAACAGTCAAAACTGGTAAAAATTAGTCAAATCAGTTTGAACCGATCTAATTAAAAATTATTTTTTAATTTCAAATTTTAGTTAAAAATATTTTTAATAAAAAATACATATTTAATAAAAAAATGATAAATTAGAATAACTTATTTTTAACACTTTTCTTATCAATATAATTTAATCATTTATGTTAATTTATAATTTTTAATATCTTTATTTTTTATAATTTATATTATATTAATTTGATACTTTTTATTCTAAATGTAAACTTGTTATTATTAATTGACATTGTTATATTTTTTTAAAATTTAAACTTAATTATTATATTATATCCAGTTTAGAATCTTACGTATACATTAAATATTAAGAATATATAAATAAATTTATTATTTTAATTTATAGGATTATAAAATTATGATATTATATTTATTTAATATTATTTTTATATTGATGATAATAGTAATAATTATTTTATTAATACCAACTTGATTATGATTGAATTATTAAACCTTAAAGTAATGCTTAAACTAGTTTAATGAACAAATCAATTTTAAAAATATTATCATGAATATATATATATAGTTAAAAACAGTAACTAATCTTCATCAGTTATCATAGGCTGATATAAAGTGAGTGTTCGAACGCAATCTCTTGTTGTCTCTTGTTATATTAACATATTTGAATTTTAGATTTTTAAAAACCCAGTATTCCATACTTGTAGCCGGTACTCATTTTCATGCATCGTTATCTGAAACTATTAGACATGAAATTATTGATATACCTGCATTTCTACCACAAAAGCAAACACACATTTAGTCCTTTAACAGGATAATATTGAAATATAACAGGTTCAATCATATTCCTCTTGCACCTAAAATCCTACAACGCACACCCATTTGTGCCACTTCTTATCTTGCTCCAATTTAGTTGATAAATGAAGCAACAAAACAGAACACTTTCTTAGTTGCAACTGAAACAGCCACCCTCAAGCAAACCGCAGCAAATTAAAAACAGAACAAGATTTTGGTCCCTCTATAGTGGTTCTACTTTGAAGCAGAAGCCTTGAAGAAAGCAAACAATTTATCTCTAGGAGGCAGGCTCTCTTTGATCACAGGGTGGTTAACAAACTCTTGACTCCATTTATATAACTTTGGAAATTTCTCAATGGTAAGCAACTCCAACCCTGCAATTTCTTGCAATATGGCAACCCAATAACCAATGAAATTGGCAGCAATATCCACCAATCCAATGGTTTCTCCTCCAAAGAACCTCTTGTCCTTGAGTGCCTCCTGCAAGATTTTCAAAGCTTCCAAGGCTTCCTCTACTGCTTTGTCACGCCCCTTCTCATCACTCCAGCATGCATTCCATAAAGCAGGCAAGATCTGAAACCAAAGGAAAAAACAAAAAAAAAACATCAGTGTGATTTATATTTAAGAAAATAGACTATGTGTAGACAATATAAATTTATTTATATTATCATTTAATCATAAATCTATCATGTTTGATAAATTTATTAAAATTTATATTAATTATTTTAAAATTTATATTAATATTGACTTTTAATTAAATAATAGTGTAAAATTATTATACATTAAACCTTTATACTTAGATGTTTTCATTCTAATTAAAACTTAGTTAGCAGTAAAACTTTTTACATAAAATTTTCCATTTAAATACTAAAGTCACCTAGACTCAAACATACAATTTTTTACTTAAAATATTTCAGCATAATTATGAATCATTCAACGTGAATCCAAACATGCAACAATCAAAATAAGGGGTAAAACAAGATTGCTAACCTTGTCATCTAAGGTCTTAGACCAGAAACGAGCCAAGGCTCTTTCATAAGGGTCTTGAGGCAAGAGGGGGTTGTTTGTCCACGTGTCATCTATGTATTCAACGATGACAAGTGACTCGGGTAATGGGTTTCCTTTGTGGATCAGAACTGGAACCTTCTTGTGAATGGGGTTGTACTTGAGTAGGTCATCACTCTTGTTGGCAAAGTCTTCCTCAGAGTATTTGTATGCAACTCCTTTCAGTTTGAGACTGAGAACTACTCTGTTGCTAAATGGGCTGCTCCATTTCCCCAATACCTTCACTTCTTCTCCATGCTCTGAAGCCATTTTCTAGTGGTTGCTGTTCAAAACTGCAAACTAAAGAGATTGTTGTTACTTTGTTAGGGTATGGTTTGAGTTTGGAGTTTATAGAGAGATCACAAGGATTAGTGGAGAAGTTGGAATTTTAGTTGTGATGTTTAGGGTCAACTTTGTGGACTGGGGTTTGGTGTGGTGGAGTTCATGGTAGGTGGCTTCCTAGAATCTCACATTATATTTTTGGTTTTTGTTTTATTGCCACAAAAAGAAATTAATAATAAAAGTCTAACATTGAATATTATAAATATTTTTATTGAATTTTAATAAAAGAATATTATTTGTTAATTTCTTAACCATTATTTTAATTTTCGCTACACCATCATTAATTTATATTTTAAGATAGTGAAATAAAATTGATAATATTTGTAGCTTGAAACTAAAAAAGTAGATGCAGGGGTTAGTTTTTGGGGGCATGAAAATACGAAAATAATGATCATTTATGGGAGTTTTGTTATTATAATTACTTGATTGGAAAAAAAATTATATGTTGAAGGACCCATATATACATTTTTTTTTTAAAGTTTAATGACCTGTTTAAAGATTCTCAAATAGTTTTGGAGTCATGAAAATACCAAAATAATGACAATTCTCATTTTTATAGTATTTTTCTTTCTTTTATTAAAAATATTTTTAAGCAACAAATTATTTATAATAATTGCATAAATAAAAAAAATTATTTAGGTATTATTAGTTTAACTTTTACTATCTAATAGTTACTTAGTTCGGTTTCTGTAAAAAAAAATAAAAATCACATGCAGTTCAGTGAATTAATATTAACTTCGTTTAGTATCTCGGTAAATTTAATTCAAAACTGAAACGTAATTTTTAAATACGATTTCAAGCAACTTATGGCATCCTTACTTGCATAAACTTGAGATGATGAGCAAGGAGGAGGACGCCTTCTCCAAGGATCAAGTTCTTCAAAGGTGGACCAAGGTTTTAGGGTGGATGATGATGGAATGGACGAAAATGAAGGTTGGGTAGAAGGTGTTTGAGGAAATGCTTGAGAATGGTACTCTAGGGTTGGCTCACTTCATGATGATGAAGGCCACTTCTAGGGTTATTTCTCTCAAGGTGGAGATGGTAGGGTTTGGCCGAAAATAGCCAAGGGTGACTAAGGAAAGATATAAAGGCACTAAAGGCTCTCTTTATATTCAATATCCAAAGTATTTACAAGGTGTGGGGTGTTGGGTATTTATAGGAGGGGAGGCATCTAGGGTTGCATTTGGAGTAGGCAAATGCATTCCAAATGAAATGCAAATGAACCCTAGATGCAACTTGGTGGCCAAGGATGGAATCTTTGGGTTTAGATTGGCTATATCTAGGTGCATGATAAGACCATGCAACCTTTGCCCTCCACTTGGGCCTAAGCCTTTCTAACACCAAAAATAGATCCAATGAACACCAAAAAAATGTGTCACCCTTCTAGTTAACACCCTAGCCCAAAATTAAAAACCCTAATCATCTAGAGCACCCCATAATACAAGGGTAAAAAGGGAAATACAAGGGAAAATAAATTCTAAGTCCTAAACACCCCAAAATACAAGGGTAAAATTGGAAATACAAGTAAAATAAATTCTATGATTAAAAAGAACTTAGGAGCTAAGGTCCAAAAGTGGCCTCACTAACCCATTCCTCTTGCCTCCTTTAATATATCACCTCTTGGTCTTCTCAGCCTTAGTGTTATTCCATCACTTTCATTTAACATGGTAAGAATAAACCATATGTTCTTTTTTATTATTATTATTATTATTATTTCGATTTTTTGTTGGTTATAAATTGTAGATTGAAATATATTTTTAAGTATTCGTAAAATAATTATGTTTTGATTATGATTCATATTTTTTTATTTCTTAAAAATTTAAAATTATTGTTTTAATTCCTACCGTAACGTAGTTAGTAGACTGGAACGGCACATTCCTATATTGGAACGGGCCGTTTCAAACTACTAAAACAGAGGTGATTTAGTAGTCCAGAACAGGCCGTTCCCAAACTGGAACGGGCCGTTCCAAGCTACTAAATAGGCCTATGAATCTTGGACTGGAACGGACCGTTCCAAAATGGTCATTGTGAGTTAAATTTCACTCTAGAACAGGCCGTTCCGATTTTAGAACAGGTCGTTCTAGACGTGCCAGAACGGGTTGTTCTGGTTTCATAATGGGACGTTCTGCATGTGAATTTTACACATGATGAAGGAGCCTAGAACGAGCCGTTCTAGATTTGGAACGAACCGTTCTAGCCAGTTCAGACTTCTATAAATAGAGGTTGTGGGCAGTTGAGGAAAATGGAAGTTTTTAGAGAGAAATTTAAGAGAGAAGGACTCTAGATTAGGAAGCTTGCTTTGAGTGGATTGAAGTCCCGGGTTGAGCTTCGGAAAGGGAATTCCGCTTCTTCTCAGTTCTTGGCTACTTTGAGTCAATCTTCGGGTGAGGGAAGCTAGAATGTAGGTTGTTTAATTTCAAGAGAGTTAGGGAAGCTTTATGCATGGTGTTCTTTTGTTGAAATAGTTGAGTTGTGGGGTGCTTAAGTTGATTTATGTTGTTTATATTGTGTAAGTTGACATGATATATGAATTTTAAATATGTTGTATATTGTTGAAGTTGTTTATAAAGTTGTTAAGTTTCATTAAGTTGATATTGTAATGCCTATAGTTGTTTAATTAAGTTGTTTGCATGTTAAAATTATTAAAGTTGCATAGTTGTATAATTGAATAAGAAGTTGTATAATTACCTTGAGATGTATGATGAGTAGAAAGTGAAATGAAGAGATGCAAGTTTAGTATAAAGTTGTATGTTGCTATAAAGTTGTATATTGTGCCATGTGTTGAAAAGAGATTACCTTATGATGATTGAGTTGTAAATTATGAGTTGAGCTAATATTATGTTGTTTAAAGTTGAAATGAGTTGTTGAGTTGTTTAGATATGTTGTTAAACAATGTTGATGAGTTGTTGTGCTGATAAACTATGTTGTTCAAGTTGAATGTTGATTGAGATGATGAGTTGAAAAGTTGTATGTTGTTTAAGTTATTAAGCTGATTAAGCTGTGATGGTGAGTTGTTGATCACTAGGACTAGGGGAGATGTTTTCGAAGTTGCTCATCCCATTGTGTGGATTGAGATAGTTGTGGTGCTCTGATAGTCCAATTTGTTGAAAAACCCTCCTTGGAAAGTTGTCCCTTGGAGTGGACGTTGTGTTGTTCTCCTCTAGGACTTAGTTGATCCTGTGTGTGGGCAAGGTCGAGGCACACATTTACAAAGCGACCACGATATAGGGGACAGGTGGAGCTATACAGATTACAAGCGACCAGATGTTTATTGTTGTAAAGTTGTTATGGTGTCTATTGTTCTAAAGCTGAAAAGTTGGGGACATATGGTGAAGATATAAGTCCTATGCTGAGATACATAGTACTAAGGAGATAAGTTGAAAGTTGTTTTAAAGTTGAATCCCTTAGTACTATGTGGGCAGCATAGAAGTAGTCGATCCATGTCATGGTTGAATGACTAATTTGAGTAAGGTATCTAGTTAGAGATGTAGTCTTTGACTAGGTACTAGAGGGTGCGTGGTACTTGGAGGACAATGGGTGGGCTAACTCTTTATGTGGATTGGTGATGCTAGCCAAGGCCGTGGTAGGCTCATACCCAAACCCTTCTGTCTTGACAGTAGCACTGGACCCCCGAGTCTAAGTGACACACTTGAGCAATCGCATATTGTTGTCTATACCTGGTTCTCTTCGGAGTTCCTAACGCTGTTCTATACCTAACCTGGTTGAGATAGGTCAAATGCCGGTTCGGTAGGGTTTATGCCACCTAGACTGCTTAACCTCAGTTGTTGGAGATCTCCGAGTTGAAATGCGTGACGATGCATAAGTTGTTGATGAGTTGATTTGTTGTTGATAAGAGTTGTATCTATGTCGTTATGTTGTTAAGATGTGATTATGTTGTCTGTTGACCCTGTTGAGGATGATGATAGTGTTGTTATGTTGTAAGTTGTTTTAAACATGTGTTGTTGAAAGATGTGTAATATATGTGTTGTGTGTCTTCTGTGACAGATGTGAAGATGATTATATAGTTGTTATGTTGCATATTTGATATTTATGAGTTGTTTATTGTCTCTAGCTTACCCTTGCATGTTTCCATGTGATTTGGACTGCGATGATCATACGTTGTATGGGAGCAGGGCAAGGATAGGCTGGGAGATAGTTGCTAGAGGTCATAGAAGGTGCCTGGAGATGGATATTTTTTAGGCTACCTTATAGTAGCATACTTTGTTGTATATAATTGATTGTTGTTGGTTGCTTGATTAGCAACTTGTGTTGTAAATATTTTATTATACTATTTTAGTATATATATTCCAGTAGTGTGTAAGTGTTGTTTCGTAGTGTGATGGTCACGACGATTCGTTACACTTTTATGGTATCAGAGCAGTTCAAGTCTAGTAGACACTTTGTGGGGGTGGTACCTTTAGGCTTTTGTTGCGTTGAACTCTGTGTTGTGTTAGATGTTATGTTGCTTTGTGTTAGTAGTTGAGATGTAGAGTGTTGAATGAATTGTTCATTTTGTAGAAGATGCTTAAAGCATGAGCAGATAGCCCATGCCATGGAGATGATGGTTACAGCTATGCAACAACAGAATGTCTACTTTGTTAGGATGGATGCTGAGAGAGCTGCAACTAGTGTAGCAAGACCAGTTGGGTCACAGGAGAGTTGGGACTTGGCTGAGTTCAAGAAGTGTAGTCCTCCTTAGTTCAGAGGTGATGCAGATCTGGAGGTGGCTGACCACTGGATCTGAGATGGAGAAGATGTTTACAGTGCTGAGATAATCTCAGGAAAGGAAGTTGGCTTATGCCATTTATATGCTGGTTGGGGAAGTTGAGTATTGGTGGAAGGACCCTCATTAGATGTTGGTTGCTAGAGGGGTGGAGGTTGATTGGGAATGCTTCAAGAGGGTGTTTCTTGAGAAGTATTTCCTTGAGAGTGTGAGACATGCCAAGGATGCAGAGCTTATGACGTTGCATCAAGGGAGCTTGACAGTCTCAGATTATGCGATGAGGTTCGAGCATTTGGCTCGTTTTTATTCACAGGCTATCTCTGAAGTCTGGAAGTATAGAAAGTTTGTTGAAGGTTTGAAACATGAGT